ACACCATCAATCCAAAGACAAAAGTAATGCTTCATAATCTATGTAAATTTCCACAGAATCATCATCGCCTAATTTATGTCAGGAACATATCAAGATAATCGGATAACAATTGTATTATATCCGGACAAAGTTGAAAGAGCCCAGACTAATAACATATTAACTGAATGGACCTTCTAATGTCCTAAAAGAGAAATAAATAAACCTTCTCCTTGTACTAAATCTTATCTTAAAATGAAAAGAAAACATGAGAAATGGTATAATTTACCTTTCAATTGACCTCTTATTTCTGTGTCAATCTTCCATTTTATGTGCAACTTTCACAAAACTCGAAACAAAGACAGAAGGAAAACGATTAAACACTCTCTTAAAACCTGGAACAAAAAAATAAAATTAAAAATCAAAGATTCAACAATACAGTCGAAAATACTGGAAGAAATAAACACATGAACAAGAAAGTGAATGTGTGAAAGTTTTAATTACTGAAAATTCTTTGGGTGTATTTTGTATTATTATACACTTAAAATAGAGTCGAACAAAATGGGAAAAAAAAATGGCAACAAGAATATCGAAATAACATATTTGAAGTCATGAAACTCCAATTTCTATCGAAATTTGTAGTATTTTTATAACGATCTCTTCAAACCTCGAACAACAAAAATGAAAGAAAAAATCGAACATTCAACAATACAGCTGAAGAAACTGTAAAAAGTACGCAACAAAAATATGAAAACAACATACCTGAAGTAACCAAGCTCCAAATTTTGTCGAAATCGAACAACAAAAACGGAAGAAAAAAATTGAAGATTACACAGTAGAGCTGATCTGGAAGAAAATTCTTGGGTCTCTTTTTCACGATTGGCGAGAAAATTGAAATTGGGGTTAAAGCAAAAGTAATGGCTACGTAAGAATGAGCTGCTGCTTTTAAGTCAGAGGAGATATTTTTGTGAACAGTAACTAAAGAATAAGCCAACAAAAGTTTCACATATCATACAAGGAGAAGCAAAATTAAGTTAAATAAAATTGAAGAAAGTAACAAACAAATCCACACAGAAGCAAAAATGTAGCAAAAACTAAAGTTTTTCAGCTAGAACAAGCTGGACTGAGCAAAAACCAGCTGGAAATATGCTATAAAAACTACAGTACAAACGACAGCCAGAACTGAAATATAGTCGAAGACAGCAGAAATTGGGAAAAAAATACATCAAGCAAGATCTGTAGGTTTTGAAGTAGATCGAATTAAATGAAACGTAACCTAACAACATTTTTATATCTCAGACGAGGAAAAGGGAAAAAAAACCTTAAGTAAAACTACAAAGAAGTAAGAATCTAGCAAGAACTGAAGTTCATCAGCTAGATCGAGCTAAACGAAGAACAGAACAATGAAAAATAGGACGAGAACGCACTGTATAACGAGAATATGCATTTGAACACAGAAGCAAATGAGAGTAGAAGCAGCTGGATGGAGAGAGGAAGATATAAGATACCGGTAGAAGAGATATGTTTTGTATTGTAGATATTTTGTGGAGAGAAGTAAGATGTCGGTTACTGTAGCGAAACCGGGTGATTTGAATTCTCAGTGTCAACACAAGGTACTCAAATGAATAGTAACCTCCACATTCACTCTTTTAATGGAAAAATTTTTGCCCTTCTAAATTTGCATCATAGAGAACATAGTATAGTTTATGTATTAGTTTGTAAATAGTCTCGAGCATATTAAACTTTCATGTGACAATTACAAAAACCACCAATGTATTATCATCTTAAATGAAAACCAAATCTCAAATTTCATAACTTCATCAATGCAAGAACCCAATTTCATACAGTAAATTTTTAGGGTGAATCGTGTGAACTGCCCCATTCTATGAATCTGAAAGAGTTGCACAATCTTTTCTTTCTTTTCACAACATGACGTTTCTATCTTTTTCATGACATAACCTTGATATGTGGCACCACCTGTTGGACATCATAATTGAAATAATTTAAGTAAATAATTTTATGCATGTATCTTATTTCAGTTTCTAAGAAATAATTTAACCATCCATAATATTTATTTTCGATTCCCAGCAGCTGTTTTTTCCCAGTGTGATCATGAAAACAGGAAGAAGTTGATAATCACTTTGTTTTAAGTTAGTTTTTCCGTAACTTTGAGCTTTTGCTCATGACTATTGTATTTTCCTATTGAGACCACACGAAAAAATCTCAAGCGCTTTATCGTGAGTGACATTTTTCTTAAACTCGAGATGCAACTTGAGATCATATAATCGTTAAACACTATAGAGTTCGATAAAACTCATCAAGTAAATTGCAATATGGAATTATATTCTTGCGCAGGTAATATATGAAATTGCCTTGAATGAATCATATGCTTCAATGCCTCTACGAGTTTTCTGATATCACGTGCTCCTAGATCCTTGTCTCTTGTTTTGATTCTCCTACATCTACAAAAGGCTGAATGCTTTCCCATATAGGGCTTATGATAAGGGAGGAGTTAAGAGGCTCTTTGTCTTCAAGTGAATCAAGTTCATCATCTATTGCACATGATAATTCATCTAAGTAGGCCATTATTTATTTGCTTCACACACTTCGTGTTGATATTTATGTGTGTGCGCTTTTAGATATAATTTTGGTATGAAATGGTTAGAAAGCTAGCATTTTCAAGAATAAGTCAGTGTTGTCAATCATCAATTTTTGTGTGTCACCTCATTTTAAAATGTTATTTGCTTGTTCCAGTTATTTGTTGTATGTATGAGCAAAACGAAAGCAAAGCATTATTTTCTTTTAATTTGTTCTACTTTCACTAAAGATTTTCAGGGTCGAATTTTTCATTTCACCTATTTATTTCATTTTTAGATGATAACTTTGATTATTAATTTCACAGTTTATTTTCTTCTAGTTTCTAATCCATGATTGCAGAAACAAAGGCATCAATCTTTCAATACTAATTATTCTGCTTTTGGCTATTACATTCTTTAGTTTTTAATATGGTCTTTTATTCTTTCGTTCTTTTCTGTGTTTATATTCAATAGTTGCTAGATACATGGTCGCACAGTTGAGATATAGGGGAATGGCCCTTAGATTTTCGTTTTCTTTTTGCTGCACAGTTTCGTTGGTATATAATAAAACTATTCTGTTTATACGCCGTCGTTTTTCACTCTGCATAGTATGTTAAAGTATTTCTCTTGATTTTTATCCAGGATGAGCAGGATTGAAGTCGACATTTGCATTGTTGCTCTTTATTACATTTTCCGTATCTAGAAGCCTTCCTTTTTCTACGACACCTTTTCCTCTCCAAATGTACTGCCAAGATTGTTTTGGATGTTTAATTGTTGACTGCTATGTAGGTCTGAGTTTAATTGTTCTGCTACTGGCTCTACATGAAATTTAAACAGACAAAGGGAAAGGTAATAATTGCTTTTTATTGCAGATTGGATTTCATGTTTGCTTCACTAAATAACTGTTGTATTTGTAACTCTGTCGTGTCGTGTTTGGTGTACTGGATTGGATTGGATTGGATTACAGACGAATTGATTAGAGGTTTGCCTGCAGGCATGCCTTGTGTGGGCCACCATTCTCAATATTTTTATCCAAAAAAAATGAATAAAAATTGAAAAAGGCTTGAGTCATGGGCTTGGAGAGCTAGGTCCAACATGGCTTGGCTGGACCGGCCTGTCCATTATCTACACACTTCTATTTTGGATCGTAATCATGACTCAGTCCCTTAATCATGAGAATGAGTTATTGACTAGTAACATAAAAGGAAAAAAATTCATAAATAGGTGTATACTTTACACCAATTCAAAAATTAGGTTTATAGTTTGAAAATTCAAAAATCAGGTTTTTTTAATTTTTATTTATGAAATAATAAATTATTAAATCAATTTATTATTAAATATATAATATAATTAACCCATCCCACATGTACCACTCATACCGCTCAGGGAACTATTTTGGCGACCATTCCGACCACCACTCTTCTCCGACGACTATTTCGACGATCGTTCCGGTGACTGTTCCGATTCTGGCAATTATTCTGGCGACTATTGCGGTGACCATTCTGGTCACAGATTTACAATTTACGATCACAGCTCAAAATTTTTGTAAGTCACAATTAATTCTTTGCTCACAGATTTCAAAATGAATTGGTCACAGATCAAAATTTATAGGTCACATAGTCACAGATTTTTAAATTAATTGGTCACAGATTTTTTTACGGTCACAGATTATATAATTTTTAGGTCATAGATTAAAAAAAGTTGGTCACAGATTATATTTTTAGTTAAAGATTATCGAATTTTAAGGTCACAGATTATATTTTTAGTCACAAAATCAAAATTACCAGATCCTCCACCTGCACCACCGTCAACTGCCACCACCATTATCAACCCACCAAACAAAGTCGCCACCCAATACACTGCCAATAAAAATCATCACAACCACAAGTGCCATCGCCGCCACCGATACACAAAAACACTGTCAAAACCACCCACCGCCAGGAACTGCACAACAATTATGTGACCATCCCGCGACCACCACCGACCTCTGTGACCACCCTGTGATGTTCACCGCCGGCGACAGTAGCTGGAACCAACAGCACCACCACCTCGTCGCTGCAGCCAATATTACAAACGCCCACCAACAAAACACCCGTCGCCACCTCCACCGTCAAACCGCCACCTCACCACCAACACCACAACCACCACTTGCACCACCAACCACAACCACCTAAAAACAGATCTGCACCTACGACCACTCATCCACGCACATACAGCAACCACCATCGTCGATCCACCACCACCGTACAGAGCCACAGATCCGCCACAAATATGTTGTTAGGTGTTCCGAAAAATAAATGGCTTGGCTGATGAGTGATGAGATTACAGAGTCCTATTCTTGGTGCAGTCAATCATAATGGCCTATGCATATTTAAGTTAGAAAAAGAGTGAGGGGAGGAAAAACTTATCAGATTTCTAATTACATAGCGGCGACGGTTGGCAGAAAAGATGGAGGGGAGGACAACGGCGGTGGCTTCACAGAGAAGGGGAGATGAGAGGAGGGAAGAGCTGAGACAGCGCCTCGTCGTCGCTTCAAGGTTTGACATGGCGATGGAGGCGGCGTTCGGTGGTTGGTGTTGTGTCACTGTGTGTGAAGAGGTTTTGACATAGCGAGAGAGTGGAGATATGGGTGAAGAACGGCAATGGAGGAATGGGCGAGACGGCGGGGGCGTCTTGCGACAGTAGCTTTGACAGAGAGAGGGGACTTGGCTGGGAATGTTGAGAGAGAGAGAGGGTGGCGAGAGAAATGTTGAGAGAGAGGAAATATTGATTGAAAATGAATTAGGGTTTGAAAAATTAGTATTATTATATTATTTAAATACTTAATTCATACCTGATTTTTTATTAGATAAACCTTGGACCTGAATTTTGAATTTGAAAGTTTAAACCACTGATTTTTTGTAATTTCCTATACAAAGTCTTGCTTGTCACATTTTAAAATAAAATAGAGATTCATATTAATTTTCAATTATACATTTACACGATAAAACGTTTTGCATGTAAAATAAAAGTTTTTTTTTTTTAAAAAATCATAAATTCTNAAATGAATGAGGGTTTGAAAAATTAGTATTATAATATTATTTAAATATTTAATTTATACCTGATTTTTGATTAGATTAATCTTGGACCTGAATTTTGAATTTGAAAGTTTAAACCACTGATTTTTTGTAATTTCCTCAACATATAAAGTCTTGCTTGTCACATTTTAAAATAAAATAGAACTTTCATTTTCATATTAATTTTCAATTATACATTCACACGATAAAACGTTTTGCATGTAAAATAAATGTTTTTTTTTTTTAAAAATCATAAATTCTCTAAAAAATCACTATTCAAAATATCATTTTTCTGAATAATGACCATTAAATGGGGGCAAAACTGGAACAATTAATATCTAGAAAGGGCAAAATTGGAACAATTAATATATGTTTGTCTACCATTTTTCAAAAAATTGTTCTCTACAGTAATCAATCTCTACCACACATTCAAATAATAAAATATTTTATACATAAAACGATAAAGTTTCTTTCAATTTCAACTACAGATTTTCCAAAAAATACTATTCATTACACCATTTTCTTTTCAATAATGGTTGACAAACAAGCACTTAATCTAAACTCAATTGTTAAGAGTCTGTGCCCCCGGTTGGCCAGCAATCATTGGTTCGTAAAAAAGAACGTACAATTGTACTTATTTCTTATCAAGTCCATGTTTGGTAAAAAATTAAAATTCAGATTTTAATCTTAATTAAAGTGAATAATTAATTTTAACTATATATTTCATAGTACACACAATTTTTTTAATTACATATATTTTTTAACTTTTATCAAAATTTACTTAAAAATTTGATTTTAATAATCACGAAACAGTGGCCAATTATAATTTGGATTTAATTCCAAAATAATAAGCCATTTGTCTCCTTTTGCCAGGCCCAAGCCCAATAACCAGTTTTCTCTCATTTCATTGCCCCCATAAACAGGGGCCCAAGCCTATAGTTAAACTAGGGTTTTGCAACGCATATATATATATAATACACTCTCCCTACGTTCGGTATTTTCTTGTTGCCCTCTTCTCGCCACAAAGAAGCACACAAAGTTCATCACAAATGGCGCCGAAGACTCAGAGAGTAACTCGTAACCCGGAATTGATTCGTGGGGTACGTAAGCACTCGCGTTCCCAGATGTACCACAAGAGGGGACTCTGGGCTATCAAGGCCAAAAATGGAGGCAAATTTCCAACCCAAGAAAAGAAATCTGTAGCCGCTGAGCCACCCGCCGAGAAGGCACCCTAAAATGGAGGCAAATTTCCAACCCACGAAAAGAAATCTGTGGCCGCTGAGCCAGCCGCCGAGAAGGCACCCAAATTCTACCCAGCTGATGATGTCAAGAAGCCACTTTCCAACAAGCGCAAGCACAAACCCACAAAACTGAGGTACTTTTCAGATTTGTTTATTTGGTTTTTCTGTTTCATTTCAGAATTGAGATTTGTGTTATGATTTATACTTTCAGTTATCTTTATTTCGTTTTTAACTGTCTATTTGTTTCATTTGAGATTTGAGTGATGACTTTTTCAATTTTGGATCAATGTTTTTTTTGCCTGTGTGTTTCTTTGTTTAGAGCAAGTATCACTCCTGGGACAGTGTTGATTATATTGACCGGAAGATTTAAAGGAAAACGTGTTGTTTTCCTTAAGCAGCTTGCTTCTGGATTGTTGCTTGTTACTGGTTAGTCTCCTTTTATACAACATCTTTAGCTTTCTTAACTAGTTCTATGTGAAGTAAATGTTTTTGCTAAGTTCTTGTCTGTAGAGAGAAAATAGATATGCACTTTGCCGCCCCTAACTATATCACTATGTCAAGATAAAAAAATTTGAATTGTGGGTAGAAAATTCTTGTATGTTATTATCCATACAATGTCTGTAAAGTATTAGTACGGTACATGTGTCTATCTAAATTTATATTTCAATACAATATGCTCCTGTTTATCAATTGATATTAAATTGTGTGAGCATTGTGGTAATTTGGTTCACACAAATGTTTTCATGAGTTTATATCTTCTCTGTTTCTGACCATTTGTAACTTTTAGGTGAATTTATATGCATGATTATCGATTATTGATTTTGCATTTTCGTTTTCCTTCACGATACAATGATATTGGGTGAGCTGTAAAGAATGCTTGTATGATCAAAGTGATTTAAAGTTGTTGCAGAAAGAGCCCTCTTTGTTACTGTGGTTGAGGCATTTTAATTTAGTCAACTCCCACTAGTTGCAAGAGGGCATTCTGATATCTATTGCCTTGGGGAGCAGGTTCTCTGTGATTGCCTCTGGGATTGGCCATGAAAAATTCATTGATTATGTTTAAATAATGCTTGAAATACTTAGTTTGCCTGGGAAAAAATGTTGCCCTTGTTTATTTAATCATTTTTTGTCACTATGATGGTATCTGATATGATATGATGAAATAAAGTATCTAATCAGCGATGAATTGTAGTCATTTAGAAACCTAAACCTGAACTTGTTTCTCAATGGGGTTAATAGTCTGATAATGAGAGTATATTTCACATTTTCACTGTTATGCTTTGAATGCATAGTATTTATATTCATTTCTCGCACTTAATATTGTAGTTTCTTTCAAGTATGATTCCAGGACATATCGAATGACCCTGCCAAGCTGTTTCAGAATGTGTACTTTGTTGTGAAGTTAAAACGTACCTTTATGGAATTTTGTTTATGCCCTCTTTAGTAGTTCATTCAACCTTACAGAAATAGCTCTTTAAATTGCCTTCTGTTACATTGAGCTTATTTCAATTTTTGTCTAATTGCTGCTGTAGGACCATTCAAGATCAATGGCGTTCCTCTAAGACGTGTCAACCAAGCATATGTTGTTGCTACATCCACAAAGGTTGACATTTCTGGGGTTAACGTGGACAAATTTGATGATAAATATTTTGCTAAGCAAGCTGAGAAGAAGAAGAACAAGGGCGAGACTGAGTTTTTTGAGGCAGAAAAAAAGGTTTTCCTTGTCTCTTCTAAAAATAATTATCCTGTTATTGTTTTTGGTTCTGATACAAACCATCCTCTGTAATGTAGGAGAAAAATATGCTTCCAGTAGAGAAGAAAGATGACCAAAAAGCTGTTGATGCAGAATTGTTAAAAGCTATTGAGTGTGTTCCAGAATTGAAGTTCTATTTGGGAGCAAGATTCTCTCTTAAGGCTGGAATGAAACCTCATGAGCTCGTCTTTTAGATGAATTTCACTTATTTGGTTCTTTTTTTCTTGTATTTTGTCTTCCTTAATTTTGCATTAGAGATTAATATTGGAACACAGTTCTATCCGTTATAAACATCAAAGTTTTGCTACTGTTAACTTGATGCAACTTTTGGCGATATTTGAGAATGAATTTTCTTGTTGGTTTCAGTTTTCTGGAATATGGGCTTCTATGCCTGGTAGAATTTTTAGCTCGTTATACTACTTGGCTGCAAGACTGGAAAGTACTTCTAACTGAACGCATCAATGCTTTATGGACAATTTAAAAAAAAAAAAATTGAATTTTAGCCCTGGTAAAAAGAACGCAAGCGAATTCGTGATTTCATTTTGGGCATGCATAAAAGAACCCAATATAGAATACTGTTGATTGCAGAAAACATGGCATTAAAAAATTTAACGCTAAATCATAGTTAGAGTATATTTGATGAAGTTTAAAAGTAATTTTATAATATAATTTCAAGTAAATTCAAAAGTAGAAAATTATTAGAGTGAATTTTCGTGAATTTAAGTTGTCCACCTAACTCTGTAATCTTGATTGACAACTTCATACTTGACAGTATTATTTTCATCTATTTTAAAAATTATTAAAAACTATTTTTTAAAATCAATTTTGATAACACCAAGATTGTCAAGAAAAGTCTGTACAAAATTCCAAGGATTTGCAATCAACTATTATTATATAGGTATTGTAATGATATATTTTGTTATTACTTAAAAGTTATCTTTTGATATTATGGTAGAAACACTTCCAAAATAAGTAATTTAATTATTATTATATAAAAGAAAAACCTTATTTATTTTGACATTATGGTAGCAAGTAGAAACATTTGATTATTTAAACTTTAAACAATAAAAAAATTAATTCATTTTTAAACTTGTATACTTACAAGTAGACTTACCTTTTATGTATTAGCCGTTTTCACAAACTTACCATATCCTATTTCAGTTCTTTCCTTCTGCATTCAGGCTTCAAAATTGCCGTTAAGAAATAATTACCATATATCGTATTTGCATTCCTATTTCAGTTCCACAATTTACCAATCCCAATCCCTCTCTCTCTCTATAAAAGGGGAAGTAATCCAACATTAGTCTTAAGTTTTTACAGTCTCAAGAAAGAAGAATCATGGCCTACTTTCCTCCACAAATTCGAAGAAATTTTGAGAATCGACCTTTTGTCCCAAATTCCTCATACCAGAATGTTGCTGCCACACCTACTTTCTTGGGAGGCCAAGGTAATCTTTTCTGGGTTCATTTGCCTCCTCGTACAATACAAATTGAGTACTACCTGGGATCCATATCCAGTCCAGATGAAGACACTGTCATATGGGATGAATCTGACTATGTCGCACACTTGAGGTCGACCCAAGCCAATTCTTCTCAACACAGGACCCAAACTGCTTTGACGGAAGAAACCATTATGCAACATCTGAAGAAGAGAAATTTCGTTGAAGTGAAAGACAATGAAGAAGGTCCCGAAATTTGTGTTGTGTGCCAAGGCGAATACGAAGAAAATGAAAGTGTTGGAATCCTTCGTTGTGGTCATGAGTACCATGTGGATTGCATAACAAAGTGGTTATTACAAAAAAATGTTTGCCCCATCTGCAAAGCCGAAGCATTGCAGACAAACCGCAGGAATGATAGAAGACGGTGATGGATGCAATTTGTTATGTAGTGATTCTTTTGTTATTTGTAGTTCAAATTGTATATCAGCTTATATACTGAGAGTTCTGTGATGGATACATATTGTAATTTTGTCATCAAATTCCAGTTCTTGATAATATTCATTGTTCAACTTCTGTTGCAACATTATAAAATGTTCTTCCTTTCTTGAGTTTAGTTGCAATTGTAATCTTTCTTGGTACGGAAATCTGTATCTGAATATTATTATGATTATTATTATTATTATTATTATTTAATTTTTCGCGATTCATGATCAAATTATCAAGTTTGGCGTTGAATCTGCATCTTTTATGCTTGATAATGAAACCAGTCAAAGGAAATATAAAGGTAATTGACTGAAATTCAAAAAAGTACTCTATAAATCACCATACATGGCAATGATTTCGAGAAATACAAAAAAAGAGAAGAAAAGAAAAGGAAAATACTTTACAAATTCAATGAAGCGAAGCAAGCAATCACTTTCATAGTTTTATGCACCAAAAAAGTAATGGAATCTAATTTACAACAAAAAGAGTGGAACTAAACTGAAAATGGACAGGAAAGCGAGACTGCGAGGGTCCATTTGGTTTTCAGTTTTGATTTTTGAGTTCATTTTCTATTTTCTGATTTGAGGGTATGTTTTAAGATTTCTAAAAATGCGTTTGATTTGTCATTTTGAAAAATTATGTTAAAAAACAGAAAACTAAAGAACTCGTTGGTTTGAAATTTTGAAAAATTATTTTGTAACATTTTATTTTGTTAAATTTGATTATTAAGTAAAAATAGAACAATTTTATGTTAAAATATTATCAAGCATTATATACATTTTAAATTTGATGAAAATTATAATATTTTTTCTTGTTAAAAAATTAAAATTAAAATTTTGTTTGTATTCATTTATTTTTTTTAAAATTTTTTATGTAAATAATCACTAAGAGCTAAACCTATTTTTTTTTTTAAAAAAACTTTTATATAATTTTATTTTTCAGAATTTTAATTTTAGCCTTTTTTGAATTTTAGGTTTCAGTTTTTTTTTTTTCAATATTTTCATTTTTTAGAATTTTTCACTTTGTTAAAATTTTTAAAAATAAAAATTTAAAATTTTATTTAAAGTTGTTTCCATATTTTGAGTATTTCAGAATTTTCACTGAAAACACTCGAAACATTAAAAATGCATTTTGGGTTTTATATTATAAATTTATCATTGTTTTTGAAAATACATTTTCAGAAATATCAGATCAAACACGTTTTCAATGTTTTGAAAAATTAAAAAATGAAAACGATTTGAAAATAACAAACCAAATGCACCATAAGTTTCTAATGAATTGACCAACTACTTTCTTCTTTTATCTTGCCTATTCCATATCATCGAGTTTACCACCAAATGGTTGGCCGTGATACGAGATTCAATGCTGCAATCATTGAATTGGTAGCCATTGATAAGTATATTTTATAAATATGTCTTGACCTTTAAATTTAGACATTTAGGACTAATTTGATGAATTATAAATCAATCTCTTCTATATTTGTTTGTTAGTTAAAATTCGATAATAGGATGTGGTTTTGGAAGGAATGAATGAAAATCAAAGAAAAAAGGTAATGTTCAAAGTTGAGGGACCAAATTGTAAATATTTCAAAATTGATTTGGACCACAAAAAATGATGAAGATTACACAGAATCAATTGAAAGAGAGTAGAAGCCAAATGATGAAAATTGCATTTGAAAAGGACTCAAGATAAACAAAGAAGAAAAGTTGGGGACCAAATTGCAAAGTCCCCTAACTTTACTATAGTGTGATCTCACCAGCCAAATTCAGCCAACCTGAGGCTAAATACAGTAGTTGGTGCGATTGCAGTTAGTCCTATGGTGTGATCACACCGCCCATTTTTCAGCCAGACGGGGGTAACTTTGTTGTTTTGATTGGAACTTTTTGAAATCTAGATTGGATACAATTTTGATCTAATTCCAAGGGCTATAAGTGCAAAAACAAGGGCAGAAACATAGTGGAACCTCTCAAATAAATTTATATTACAAAATCTATCAAAGACTAGGACCAATTTACCATATTGTGTAGAGAATATCAAACCTAACAAGGAACCAAAAGCAAATTAAATTAAGATCGGTTTGATTGTAAGAGTGGAAAATGAGTGGAAAGAAAATGAATTTCAGGGAAAGTAATTGTCTAAAAATTATTTTAGGATATTGTTAATTAAATGTGTTTGATTTGTATAATTTTTCACCCGAAAAATTTTAAAATTTTGTGTTCATTTGATTTTGTTTTAAAAGAAAATTGTACATTAAAGTGATAATTTTTTTTTACAATTGATTATAAAATTTGTTTCCATTATCACAAAGTAAAAAAAAAAAAGAAATTTTTTTCCCCCTATATAATTGTTTTTTCAATCAAAGTTTAGTATTCGTTTGACTTTATTTTATATAAAAAATGTCCATTAAAGTGATTTTTTTTTTTAACAATTGATTATAAAATTTGTTTCCATCAATTAAAAAAAAAAAAAAAGAAGGTGGAATCAGAAATCCAATTCCACAAATTTAAGGAAAAGAGGCGCGTTGATCAATCTAGTGGAAACCAAGTTCCCAAGAAAATAAAAGCCATCAAACACTTCATTTCTTGGAAAATGGATCCATGGAATTAGTTGTGTATCAAACACAATCTTAAAGAATCAAGGCTCAGGTTTGAAGATAAAAGAACAAGAAATTGCTTCCACATATTTCTTATATTCACATACATTTCGAGTGATGATTTTCCATTATCTTGTTATATTATCATTAAAAACATGTTAGGCTAAATTTTCTTGTATTTTACGAAGATGAAACCATTGTTTAATTATTTTTGATTCAAAGATCGAGTAATTTAGTGTATTTTATTTCCTTGCTTGATTGCATGATTCTTGCATTACTTGATCATCAATTAGATAATTAGTTGTTTTTTATAGTGTTAAGAAGATAAGAATATAAATGGGTACTTACTTTGGGAGAGCTAATTAGATATAATTGAATTATTGACTATCGAGAGCACATAAATCACACTAAATTACATAGGCTAAGAATTAGAAACAGGACAACAAAATGTGGATTCATAAATCAAATACATTCATCTTATAATTTTTAACATCAATCTTTTGGAGAATAAGTTAGACTTAAAACAAAATTGTCTCTTTTATATTACAAACATTCGAATTTGATTTCAAACTATTAGAATTGAGTTTAAAATTTATTTCACGTCTTCTCAACACATTATTACTTGTTAACGATCCTGTATGCTTGTGAGTATTACATGAACAACAACTATGGCTCAATGGTTTAGCTATAGACAACCAAAGTAGACTCAGTAGTACTCAATCTACGTTTTTTTGCAGAGAAGTTACTCTTACTTGGCATAAAATGTCTCTCACGGGGTTGAAGGAGATGTATTTGTGCAACATGTGGGAGGAAGTTGAGGATATGTTCTTGTTGTAACTTTATTGAAACTTAAACTTTATAAATTTGCCAATATCTTCATGTCAATTCATCAAGAAACTGATTAAAGCATAACATATCTTGATCAATTGATTTCTAACTTGAATAATTAATTGAATTATTGACTATCGAGAGTACATAAATCACACTAAATTACATAGGCTAAGAATTAGAAATAGGACAACAAAATGTGGATTCATAAATCAAATACATTCATCTTATAATTTTTAACATCAATCTTTTGGAGAATAATTTAGACTTAAACAAAATTGTCTCTTTTATATTACAAACATTTGAATTTGATTTCAAACTATTAGAATTGAGTTTAAAATTTATTTCATGTCTTCTCAACACATTATTACTTGTTAACGATCCTGTATGCTTGTGAGTATTACATGAACAACAACTATGGCTCAATAGTTTAGCTATAGACAACCAAAGTAGACTCAGTAGTACTCAATCTACGTTTTTTGCAGAGAAGTTACTCTTGCTTGGCATAAAATGTCTCTCACGGGGTTGAAGGAGATGCATTTGTGCAACATGTGGGAGGAAGTTGAGGATATGTTCTTGTTGTAACTTTATTGAAACTTAAACTTTATAAATTTGCCAATATCTTCATGTCAATTCATCAAGAAACTGATTAAAGCATAACATATCTTGATTCATTGATTTCTGACTTGAATAATGAATCTTGAATCTTGATCTGTAGATTTTCAATTTGGTTGCTTCAAACCTCCTTCTTGATTCCTGATTGTGGGTTTATCGATCTTCTTCTTCATATGTCTTCTCTTGTATTTTTGTGTTGATGTGATGACACAAAGAATGAGAAAATCATATATGAATTGGAGACCATAACTCTTTATATAGTTCCATATGTATTCGACCCATCGTCAAATACAAACCCTA